ATGATATCTCATAGTTGTTTTGATTTGCATCTCTCTTAGAGCTAGGGATTTTGAACATTTCTTCATGTGCTTGTTGGCCATCTGAATGTCTTTTTTGGTGAAGTGTCTTTTCATATCCTGTGCCCATTTTTCAATTGGATTATTTACCTTTATTTTGTTGTGGTGAGTTCTTCCCATTTTTAACAGTAGGACTTGATTGTAGTAAGAATTGAAAGGCCCAAAAGGATCAAAGTATGCTTAAGTGCTGAAGAGAATGCTTAAGTGCCAAGAGTGAATGGGTTGATTAAATTAAAAGAGGAAACAAAAACTAATTAATTTACATTTATTAGTATTATTCAATGAGCCATCAAGTACTAGGATGTAGACTTTTTCCTGCTGTGAAAAACCAGGACTCAAAATGCTCTAACATAAGGAGTTCACTCAGCTGTGGGCCTGTGATTGAGGCAGCCTGGCCTTGACTCTGACAAGGAACTGCAAAATAGAGTGTTATTATAATAATCTTAAGTATTCTTATAAATACACATACATCTGTGCTTAAATATAGAAATAATAATTTAAACTAACATTATGCATTTTCCTTTCTTCTTGAGGCTCATCCTCAAGAAGTATTTTACCAAAAATGATCCCTCTGACTGGCATAAAAAACTGATGAGATATTATCCCCCTTGTTTTGATTATATCACCCAGGTCCTTGAAACATAAGTTTGGTTACAGGCCCGTCTTAACCTTAGGCAAAAAGTAGGCAAACGGTTGGAATGAACTCTGGGATGTACAGTTTTTCATTCCAACTACCTACATGTGTATTTTCCAGTTTTTTTATGCCTCAGTTAACCCATCAGTATTATGGGTAGAGTCTTTTTTTATAGTCATGGTCAGTAACCCTGGTCCTCCCAAAATTAATGTGAAGAATAATAATTAAAATGATTGGTACTTTCAGAAGTGCAGGGTGTTCTTTAAATAACAAACAATGTTATCTGTTATTATTAGTGTCATTAGGCTTTGCTGCCTCTCTTAAAAAAAGGATAAACATTCACTCGGAATTACAAAACCTGAGCACATGCTCAGCAAATGGTTAGTGTAAGGATGCATGTACATGGTACATATGGCTGCCACCACTTCCCAGGGTGCAGGCTGTGGTTTAGTCTTCCCATATTCTGAAGTCAATGATAGAGGGCTCCCCCTGTGCCAGGTGCACCCAATCGTCCTCTTTTGTGGCAAGGTACAAATCTGGATATGCGAGCGATCTGAAGTAGTACATAGTGCCATAGTTTTCCCACAAGAAGATGAGGTTCGTCTTGTTTGTGATGACCTTGGGTGTCTCAGGCAACTCCTGTGAGGAGGAGAACAGAGCTCTGATAGGAAACAGGAAAACACCAGGTAAAAAGAACTGGAGCTCAGTCCTTCGGAATTTGGCCTTTGGGAGAAACAGAGCACTCTAAGGACTGTGATTTTATAATATGATAATATAGACCCTTCATCCATTTGCTCATCCAACAAACATTTTCTACATGTTTCTTAGATGTATGGCCTAGTCTATCATAGTTGTTTTTCTTAGTTGACAGAAAAGAAATCCATATTGGTTTTTGGATTGCCAGTGAAACTAGTGTCTCAACTATATCCTGGCATGCAGGGGTGAAACATGCTTACTTTTGTCCTCAACATACACATAGGCATAGTCCTAGGGGAAGAGGTCCCTGGGTGTGTGTTTGTGCAACATCATGAGTTACTGCACTAAATGACACCAGTGCTAGTGACGCCAAACTTTTTTAAATTCTAATTCAACTAAAAAATTCATTGCTGTCAAGTTGGAGCTGATTCATAGCTGGCCCTCTCGTGGATGTTCAGAAGCTGTAAATCGTGTAGGAGAAGAAGACCCGTTTCCCATGGTGCTGCTGGTGGATTCGAACCACCAGAAAGGCACCACATTTGGGTTAGCAGTGCAGCTCCCTACCCACTGGACCAACAGAGCTCTAGGACAAATATATATCCTTTTGTGATCTTGCTGGAGTTTGTAATGACAAGTAAGGTTTTGTACCCCTAAGCTTTTTCTTTCTTAGCTTTTCCTATCTCCAAAATGGATTCCCTCTTTCTCCTGCTGGTTCTGTCTCTAAAATAAAATTCTGTCTACTTCTTCACCCCTTCCTTTCTCTCCCAGCCTCTTGACTAGTGCTACAGCCTCTGAATTGGCTCCTTGCTTGCTTTCTTTCCCTTGCTCCAATCTAGTCTCCCATTTCAGACCATAAAAGAAAGGTCATCACATGGTCCTATCCAGGACCTTTTCATATCTTTTTGTGGTGCCTCAAACGAAACCCAAATGCCTGGCCCTGCAAACACCAGCCTCTGTTTAAGTTTCTTCCTCCTCAAAACACCCAGCTCCACTTTTGAAGCTGGCCTGAAACTTCTTTAAGTTTCCTTTGTGCCCCCTTGTCTGGTGTGTTCCTTCCTGCCCGTCAGCAGCTTTCATCCTTCTGAGAGCTCTGCTCCTGCCTTAGCGGCACTCATCTTTCCCCTGTGTCTCAAGACCGTACTAATTTTCTAAACAGGATTTTGTACTTTTTGCTGGTTTTCCATTGTCTTTGCCCCAGAGAACTTTAATTTCTAGAAGACGAGGGACTGTTAGCTTACTATGATTATTAGCACTATACCTGTCTCTGTGGATAAAGTTTGCTGAACGAATTTGTGAAAGAAGCTACTTCCATTTTTAGCAGACATTATTTTACCTGATTCAAGAAAAGAAATAAATGCATCTCTAAAAGTCCTAACTCGCTGAAGTGGTGAAAGCATCTAAGGCAGTAGTGGGTGTGTATCCGTGCCTGTGTTGGAAGAAGGAAGCTGTAGTTGTGGGGATGGACTGTGATGAAGTACAGTATTAGTGACGATAAAAAAGACTGGACGCTCAAGTCAGATGACCATGGTTGAGTCTTGGTGCCTCATTTTTGCTACATATCCATTGGTAAGTGGTTTATCTTCTTAGATCTCTGTTGGCTTACGTGGAAGTGGACTTCTTGTCCTCCATGCCCTGTACCAGATAGTCTAATTAGTAGGCATCAATAAAAACAGAATAAATGGGTTCCTATGGACTAGAAGGGAATACGCGGAATTGGGTAGGGAATCCCAGCAAAGGAAGGGAGAATGTGATGTATCTCTGATTGACTAGTCTACTTTCATTTTACTGTCTCACAGATCTTGTTTAGGGTTGCATCTGGGGATAGGTAAGAAGTAGAGAGAAGGGTTGAACAAGTGGAAATTGTGTAAAGAAAGGAAGAGGACAGCCTTTTCTGGCTAGGGGTTTTGGTTATTGGGACCATTTACAAATATGTATGTTGTCAGTGAGGACAGGTTTGAGGCAGTGGACAACTGACCTTCAGCAGTACTGGTTCATCTCTGTTTTCAGCACTCACGAACAGTCGACTTTTTGAGACTCGCAATGTCACAGGAATGCTTTCAAAATTATTTGTTGGTTTATAAACAGCTATGTCAAATCTCACTGGTGAAGAGAAGAGCCAAGAAGAAAGAAAATTTATTTGTTGTTGTTATGTGCCGTCGAGTCGTTTGTGACTTATAGCGACCCTATGTACAACAGCCCTAAACCCTGCTCTATCCTGTGCCAATCGCACTGCCTCTGACACACCCATCCCAATTACCCCAGTCTTTGAATCAATCCATCTCATAGAGGGTCTTCCCCTCTTGTGCTGTCCCTCCACCCTCCCAAGCATGATGTCCCTCTCCAAGGACCTGTCCCTCCTTGCAGCATGTCCAAATTATGTCAGACGAAGCCCCAGAATCCTTGCCTCCAAGGAGTTGCTTGGTTTAATCCTTTCCAGGATGAATCTGTTTGTTTTCTTGGCAGTCCATGGTACATTCAGTACTCTTCTCCAGCACCACAGCTCAAAGGCATCAATTCTCCTTCTGTCCTCCCTAGTCATTGTCCAACTCTCTGATGCATAACAAGTGATTGCAAAGACCATGGCCTGTATCAGGCACACCTTAGTCTCCAGAGAGACACCGTTGCTCTTGAGTACTTTAGAGAGCTCCTTAAACCCAGACTTTCCCATCGCAATACACTTTTTGATTTCCTGACTGCTGGTGCCAAGAGTGTTGTCTGTGAAGCCGAGCAAACCGAAGCTGTGAACAATCTCAATCTCTTTGCCATCCATCCTGACGCTGCCAATTGGTCCAGTGGTGAGAATCTTTGTCTTCTTGACATTGAGCCTCAGTCCATACTGAAGGCTGCAGTCCTTGACCCTCTGCAACAAGTGCATGTGGTCCTCCTCAGTTTCAGCAAGCAGGGTTGTGTCATCTGCATAATGTAGATTGTTAATAGATCTTCCACCTATCCTGATGCCACAATTCTCCTCATAGAGCCCAGCCTCCTGGATAATCTGCTCTGCATACAGGTTGGAAAGGTATGGAGATAGGACACATCCCTAGTGTACACCTTTCCCACTTTTTAACTATGCAGTGTTACCCTGCTCTGTTCTGACTACTGCCTCTTGGTCCAAGTATAGGTTTCGCATTAGCATGATTAAATGTTCTGGGATTCCCATTTTTCTCAGAGTCGGCCACAGTTTGTTATGATCCACACAGTCAAACGCCTTTGCATAATCAATGATTAGATTTGCATAAAATGAAGTCTATATTTTATGCTGGTGGTTGGGGCCCCCACTGCGGTGTAAGTGCCTGGAACTCATGGGTGGTATTTTATCAATCTCTACACACATCACAGGAGCTCTGGTGGCACTGTGACTTAGGAATTTGTCAAAAGTTGATAATTCAAACCTACCAGATGCTCTGTGGGACAAAGATGCATCAGTTTTCTTCTGTAAAGATTCCTATACTCAGGAAGCCTGTCACAGTTCTGCTCTGTCCTACAGAGTTGCTGTGAGTCTGAATCAGCTCAATAACACTGTTTTTTTTAAAATATTTGTATCCAAATACGTGGTTGATGCCTTTTTCCCTGCACTCAAAAAATTTCTTATGTTGAGTGAATGCTTGCAGGATGAAAAAGAACTTCTTCAATCTCTTGCAAGTGGGATAAATACATAAATGCATATGACCCTGACATTTTTTTGTACTTTTTTGGTTATGCATTTTATTATTATTATTAATTTTAATGAAAATTTACAGAAACTTTGTATTTCCATTCATTCATTGTTGCACTTTTCTCCCTGCCCACCCCTCCCCTCAAGTACACTCTTCTCTTTGAAAAGTAAAGGAAAAATTCTTTCATTGTTTTACAATCCCTCCCCCCAGGTCCACTCCACTATGCAGCCTTCGTTCTGGACTCACGACCCTGAAATTTATAGGTAAAGAGTTCATAGTGACCTAACATGGAGTAGTTTAAGGAAGTGGGTAAGTTAAATGTTGCTAGTAATTCTAAAAAAGTAGATCCCTTTTCCTTCATGAACAATATTTAAAACTGTCAAATTATTTCTGTCTATGAACCTAGAAATTCCCACCTTGGCACATATTCCAAAGAAGTAACTTCAAGTGGAAACAAAACTAAAAAACCTCCAAAGCAATAGTATATATAAAGAATTGCGGAATATACTTAGACCAAACCCAAGGCATCAATAGAGGAACATGATGAAATACTTGCGTGCCATTAAAAACAGCAAGTACATATACTATGTTAATTTGTGGGAATCCTGTGTAAAATAATATGAAGTGGGAAAATAAAACACAATATAATTTGTAAATATTATAAAAGGAAAAGATTATTAGGTATAGTATGTCCAATTAGAAAGGGTTCCACTTGTTTATTACAAAATTATCTCTTTGGGCCTTTGAAAATAATTTTTTATTTTAATGATGTGCCCTAAAGCTGAAATATGTGAAGGTAAGATGGTATACCAATTGAAGTATTTCAGATAACAGATGTTGCCCTGGACGTGCTCACCAAGTTGTGCCAAGAAATCTGGAGAACAACCACTTGGCCAACTGACTGGAAGAGATCTATATTTGTTCCCATTCCAAAG